TCAGCAGGAGGTGACACAATCAGATTTGTATTTTTAGAAGACTGATTTGGCTTCAGGGATGGAGATTGTGTTGGGTGGGGCAGGGGGTGGGTCCGGGGGACTCCAGGCAGGGAAACTGGTTAGGAGACTGGTTAGTAGTCCAGGTAAGAGTTGTTGAGGGCTGAACAAGGCCAGCAGCAGCAGGGGAGGAGAGAAGAAATGCACATGGGAGGGAAATAACAGGGGTAGAACTGAAAGAACCTAGGATGGGCCTAGATGTAAGGAATCAAGTAGAGACAGGGCCTGAAGAAGGACGATGAAACTAAAGGGTTCAAATTAGTGACATGGGCACGACTGCCCCTGTGCACCTAGGAACCATCTTTCCAGAGCCATTCTTTGTTTAGTCCTTGGAGGGTTCAGTGTTCTGTTTAACAAAGAAGGCTAATCACCTACAGATACCTAGTTCACAGCTGATTGGCAGGACCACAATGATTGACACCCTTGAGTGCCAATGAAAGAGCAGCCTGCCAGGCCTAGGCTATCAGCTCTGAGCACCTCTGGAGCTTTCTGTGAGCAGTCACTCAGGCAAGACTCCCTCCCTTCTCCCCAGCACAGACAGGGCGAAAAAGTGTCTCACAAAGGTCCATTTATCACAGGAGCACAATATAACAATAACTTACCCACACAGTACCCACTGCGCACAAAGGAGAAGTGGTAGCACACCAGGGGTCAGAGGAAGTTCTCCTTCTCCCGCTCTAGATGACACAAGAAATTGGGATGGGGGAAGGGAAGGCACTGGCCTCTAACTGGGCCCCTGGAACGGAATAGCCAGGTGGGGAGGGGGCTGCTTCTCCCCAGAGCTGGTGGGCCCTGACCAGCCTTCTTCCCAGCCCTTTCTACCTGCTCCCAGGTCAGCAGGGGCTAAAGCCAGAGGGTAAAGGTGGGTCACTTTTGAGGGGACCCAGACTGCCCAAGAAGAGTGAGAGAGTGCTCTCAAACCAGGCAGCGGGGAAGACAAGTTGGAGTAGAGGGAGGGAAAGGGTTTTTCCACAGTGAAATTCTGACAATTAGGCAGAAGTAAAAGTGGGATCCATTTAAAGAGACCAATGTGGTGACACAGGGAGCTTTCTGTTAAGCTCAGATCTTAAAAGGTCATGGGAAAAAGATGGAAATGAGAGCCTGTAATTAAGGGTGAATTTACATACCCATAAGAAGAGTATCAGGATGGCTAAAGCACAGCTTGAGCTGAAGCTTGTCAGGTTTTGCCTGATCCCACCCTCTGTCCCTTTTCCCCCTCCATAGTTGGAGTAATTTTCCTCCCACCTGCAGGCTATACCTGTCCTAAGGCGGGAAGGGTTGAAGTCACCCCACCCTGCACACTAGAACTCAGGATCAAGTAGTCCCTTTGCCACAGGTCTAAGTCTGATCTCAAGTTTCCACTGAGGCAGTCTCCTTGTTCAGTTCTGATCCCTGGCCTTGTCTCATGTTCTGTGTCTGAGTCCCCCGGTCAGAGACCTGGCCTGACCACCAGTCGCCTGTCAAGGCCTAGGCCCAGTCATGCTCTTTTAGTACACCATCTAGGGAGAGAGTCCTGACCCCAAGCCCCGACCCAGTGGCTGAGGCCTGATGTCTTACTGATGGACTCCTCTGATCCTGCTGCCCACTTGTATTTATAAATGTTTAGATACCTCTAGTCATGTTTGCCCTCCATTTGGATCCCCAGTTTTCCTATATTATAACCCTATG